CTCCCCGGCCGCGCCGCTCCCTTGGCCATCCCGCTCTACGGGCGCCCCGGCCTGGAAGTGCAGTCGGTTCTCGGGCAGGCCCGCGTACAGGTGGAGCTTGTCCGGCGTACCGGCCCCGAGATGGAGCTTTTCTAGAGCTGTGCCGGCGTCCGCCTCGCCGTAATTTGTGCTTTCAGAGGGAGCCTCTCCTGGCCTTTTGTGAGCCTGAGCGGTGGCTTGCTGCGCGGACTCGGCTAACGCTAGGGCGAGCATGCGCGCTGCGTTTTTCGGAGGAGGAGGAGGGATAAGAGACACGGAACTGACGGGAACAGGATCCTGGGGGGAGTCGAGGGCAACTGCTCCTAATGGGGGGAAAATTGAGAGAGAGAGTGATTTTATGTTACCCAATAAGGAGCGACCTACCCTTAATGACTACTATAAAAAAACAGGTGCTTTTCCACATTTGCATGGTGGCAATTTCGTGGGATGCGGAATACTGTCTCTTCTGTCCCACATGCAAACGCTGCCCAATAGTACAGAAGTTCATCAAAAAAAAAAAAGGGAAAAAAAAACACAAGAGATTGTCTAAAGGCTCCTCTTGCATTTCTAGAGAGGTAGGAAGTAGGTAGAAGAGAATGAGATACCCTTATACAATTTTGATCATAAGGTTTGGGGCAAAAACGTCCCTTCTTCAAGTGTTGGCAGATTTTTTTTTTTAATTGAAGTCTTAGATGGTCTATTGGCTGAAATGATTTAGGACATGCTATAGATTTTCACGTATGATGGGATGGGGGGCAAAAAAAAGCTGTATGCAAAGTGCTATGGCAAATATCCGAGATCTGTGTGATGTAGGGAGAAGGCAGAGGTTTCCGTTAGGACCTTACGGATCTGCACAGCCCTGCAAGACACTTGTGATCAGAACTGACGGGCAATCCCCTCTCCTAAAAGGCACGCAGAGAAGGACTTTTTTTGTGTGTGTGAGAGCAGGTTCCCTTTGGAACTTAAAGAAAGAATGGAGGAAAATGCACTGTACCTGGCTGTGTGTGTCCAGTGGGTACAGTCCTAGTGTGACTGCTTGACATTGGTCTCTCCCCTTCTTCTTGCACCTCAGGTTTGGCAGCAGCCACTAGCTGGCCTTGCTGTGGCTCTTGGTGGGCTCCTTCCCCTGCGGCCGTTTCGGTGCTTTTCAGGGGCAAGGCCAGCTGGGTTGGGGACCTGTTTGGGATCTCACTGAGGCCGATCCCTTTGCTCCAGTTGGAAGTGGAGGAGTTTCTGGACGTGCTGGATATTCCTCCAAGAGTCTCGGGCACGCGGCTGGGCAGCGCGAAGGCGACGGGTTCCACCGTGCTCAGCGGCGGGGGCGACTTGAGGGGTTTTCGCCCCATCTTGGGTGAGAAACTGTGGGGCTTGGGGGGCTTCTCTTCACTGGGGCTCAGGTCCAGCGTGAAGAAGGGGCTCATCTTCTCCTGGAAGGGGGACACTGGCTCAGAGCTCGTGGCGCTGCCAGGCGTCTGGGACTGGCTGCCCGACTCCAAATCCTTCTTCATGAGGCTGGGCCTCTCCTTGTGGAGGCCGATGGACTCCAGCAGGGACATGTTGCTCTCCAGGCACTCGGGCTCCGCTTGGGGCGGGCTGCACTGGAAAGACATAGGGTCGAAATCCAAGCTAGCGACTCCGATATCCGGCGGGCTCAGGTCAACATCTTCGGCAGATCGAGGAGAAATAAGGGCAGGAACGTGGATGAGGCCTTCGTCCCCGTCGCTGTCGTCGTGGGGAAGGTTGTCGTAAGAATTGCAGCGGTTCATGTTTCCCAAGAGCTCGCCGTTAAAGGAAGCGGAGAGCGCGTCGCTGCTCGATCTGGGTCTTCGGGGTCGGAACAGTTTGGATTCGCCTGGAAGAAGCAGACAGGGAAAGGTTATTGTGGAAATGCTGCCGTCCAGGGGCACCGGCTCCGAGCTTCTGTTTCACTAGCTTAGAGCACGTGCACGGTGCTCACCTGGGGACCTCTGCACACCAAGGGAATGTAGCTCCTTAAGCAATATTCTGGTCTGATTTCAGTCTGAAATCAAGCCATTTGTAAAAACGGGTTTAAGTGTGCATCAGCCTTAAGCTTTGCAAGACCTTTTGCTGTGTTTTCCAGCCTTGAATGGAAAGGGCAAGTGTCAAGGAACACAAAAACCAGGGGACTGCTTTTTAAAAAATGTTTTTTAACACTGAAAAGTGAAATCTGCAGCATTTCTGCAAGCACAGCAGGGTCAAATTCTCTATTAATTAGCAAGTCCAGTTTTATCTCTGTGTGCCTAGGGGGGCTGCTTGGGGCATTTGCAGTCAGTGATGTCCTCCTGCCTTTTTTAATTCACACACATTGAGTGACAAGGTGCAATTCCATCTTACCATCAACGGCGTGCAGGGAGGTGAGCGATTCCTCGCTTTTAGCTGAGCGAAGAGTCCCGCTGTCCCCTCTGCCACCTAAGGAGGCCAAAAGAGACATGATCGAGTGATATTTAGGTAGCAAATTATATATGAGCACCCATCAGGTGCAGTTGTAAAAAAAATGTCTTCCTTCTATTGGCGTTCTGATTAAAACTTCCTGCAGGAATAAGTTTGTGGAACACGTTCCTTTATCCAGGTTAACCGTGTGCCTTTTGGGAGCAGCAGATGGAGACAGAAATGTATTCTTATTTCATAAGAGTGTTAGAAGGAATTATTCTGAGAGTTAGTGTGGTGGTGCCCATAGATCTGTCTTTAAAAAGCCACCTGAGAAGAGCTGGACCTGCCAGAGCTCCAACACCTGAGCTAACTGGGGAAAGGCAGCAGGTGACTTGGGATGTTATACATGGCCTGAACGCTAGAAGGAGATACAAGCTCACTGTAAATGTTAATGCTACATTCCTGAAAAAAAAAAAAAAGATTTTTGAGAGCTGGAATTGTGCCTTTTTTTTTTTACCTGCCAGGGCTATGGCTTTCATTTCCGAGGGCTCGCTGGGGTTGCGCTGCAGTTTGCGCTTGGACACGGATGAGGACTTGCCCAGGTTGAAGAAGGAACGCCAGCTGCCCACCGGCGACTTCTTCATCTTGCTGGGAGGCCTTTTTCTGGCAGAAGAAAGCAGAGCACATTTGGTTCCTGCTGCTTGTTGTTTGCGCTACCTCTTAGAGCCTCATTCTTAGAGCTCAGGCTTAGTCTGGCTGGGGAGATCCCACTGAACAAGTAGGTGCAGTGCAGGTGCAGACTTCAGATCTGTGCATGTGGCATCTAAGGGAGGGCTATGATTTAGCTAGCAGGTGTACCAGCTCCTTCAGGAACTCTGCACTGCCATCGAGGTATTCCAGAGTTATTCAAAAGCATCTCTGGCTTATCCTGTAAAGCCCCATAGCCTCCTGCCATTGCCACGGCTTGTTCCTAGTGCCCTCAGCTCTGTCCAACTGCTCCACTTTGAGGAGAATAAGGATTTAGTGCGGGTGCTTGGTCCTGAAAGACCCTCTGGTTGTTTTGCCTTGTGCATGTGTAGTGCAGGCATCAGTATGCGTCACACAGCAGGGCTTTATACATTTAATGCTGACCCTGCTAGAAAGGGGGCAACGGCATAAAAGTTACCTCGCTGGGTGGGCTCAGTTCAGCCAGATAAATAAGTGGAATCCTCCCAGAGCTGCTTACAGCAGCACCTGGAGAACTCCAGGCAAGTGCCCCGGGGCTCCGATTGGTGCAAGGCAAAACCAGTTTTACAAGGTAAATAAAGGAAACTCCTCTCTACCTTTCGGCTGGGAAGTCTATGACCGTGTGGAATTTCCCCTGCAGAGCCGCGGGGCCTTCTCCCACTTCAATGTATTTACTGTCTGCCACGATGGGGGAGTTGATCTGGGCTTGCGTCCGCGCCTGGGCCTCCTCCAGGGTGAGCAGCTTTGTGGAAGGAGAAGACACCAGCAGAGACTTGGGCCGCGATAAAGAGCTGTGCCCTGCGAAGGGAAACGAGAGAGAGGAGGGAGAACCAGGAAAGGGCAAATGGGGAGCAGTTCCAAACCCAAGGCTGCGTTTGCTGAGCTGTAATATTCCACCCTGGCAATCTCCCCTGGTGTTCCTCCTATCAACACTGTCACACGTCCCCGGGAAGGCCCAGGTTGCCATTAAGTGTCCTTGTTGGATGCACGGCTGAGGAAGAGGCTCACCTGCTCCGTCTCGAATGACCGAGCTGAGCTTAGAACTGAAGAGGACGTCGACGTGGTTCAGGATGAACTCCACAACGACCGACTGGATCCGCACCTCCATGAAGGCAGCTGTGCCGCTGAAGCAGGCGGACTCGATCTGCTTGGACCTGCGGAAAAGGCAGGTGAAATCAGATGCAGCTGGAAGAAGGCGGAAAGACAGGCTCGCTGTGGGTAAGGATTCGGCATCTGGGGAGCTGCTGTGCCTGGCTGCTCGGGGCTTTGGGAACAGCTAAGAGATTAAATCTCAGCAAAGCCCTGTGCAAAGGATGGTGCTGGCTGTGGTGATTTATACCCGTGTTCTGGATTGGCTTGCTACTGAAGTGAGCCAGAGGAGCACGTGGGTCTAGAAGCAAAAGCAGTGCATGGGGCAGGTCTGGGTGGGGGTGAGTGTGCTGCATGCACAGAGTTTAGTTCAAATTCTTTCCGAAGGCAGCGGTTTAATCCAGGGGTGCTGGAAAATGCCAGGGCGAGCTTTGGATGTGGGGAACATCTCTACCTGCTCCTGCTCAGCAAGTACCCCAGTACTCACAAAAACAGACTCAGATGAGATCTTTTCATTGCTTGTGAGTAGAGAAGACAGCTCATAAGCTGCACGCAGGGAAAAGTATAACCCAGATTTCTCAGCCTGGCGATGAACAAGTCCAGAAATCATTAGGATGGAGGCCAGGGTGACTATTGTTTTTATTAAGCAAATCTTTTAAACTCTACCATTTATTTTGAACTGTACCAGTACACATAGCCAAAGCGAAAATATTAGGGGACAGACTTACTGCCCTCCCTTTCAAGTTGTGCAGCCAGAAGCTGTCATGTTGGACCCCAGGAACTGAGGCACTGGGAAACCTGCCATGTCACAGAACAGCTTTTCCTCCGGGACCAAGGACAAAACAAACAAACGCGGAATACCTCAGGAGGTTGGGAGCCCAGACAATGGCTAAGTTCTTGGTGTGCATGTTTGTGATGGAGCAGTAATCAGCCAGGCGAGCTAAGTGCCTCATTAGGAACTCCAGTGTCCTGGAAAAGGAGAGATAGGCAAGTGTTCAGCGCCGGTTAGCAGGCCCTGCTGCAATCTGCCAAACAAGCCTCACGGCTCATTATTTTCTTGTGGTTTGAGAGATCACAGGGAGAGGAGGAAAAAAAAGAAAAAGCTGAACTATGTACCCTAAGAACAAGGATAAAGTTGCCTTAGCAAATCATTAAAGGGGAGGTGGGGGAGGGAGAGCGTTTCTGATTTGTCCGGGCTCAGGGAAAAGCCTTAAAGCACCTGCTCTTTTTCCAGTGACAGGAATCATCTAGAAGCAGCGAGCCTGGAAAATTCATCGGTTGGCTGCTTTGCTGCGCTGCAAGATTTTACACACACGCTCCCCCCACCTCCAGGCTTTGGAAAGCCAGCATCTCCTTGTGGAAAAAGCCAGGATCACGTCAGTATTCCTGTGCGAATTCCAGCTTGTGGAAGAGCTGCCTCCAGCTGCGTTCTAGACAGAGAGGGGAGACAACAGCCTACCCTTCCCAGACTGTGTTCTCAGTAAATAAAGCTTTTTTATTATTATTTTAAACGCCTCTGAGGGCAGGAACCCTCGCGGGGAGGCAGAGGGACTAGAGCTCTCGCTTCCACCCGCCGCAGAGCTGGGGAGGAAGACGAGGAAGACGTTGCTGCCTCCCCCTCCTGCTCCCTCCTCCGCGCTGTCGCTTAGCAGCAGCGCTGGGGACAGGGGCGTTTCTGCACCCAGGCAGGCTCGAGGCTGCACAAACGGCCGCGGCGGAGACGGAGCTGCCCCAGCACCAGCTCCCTGCCTGCCTGTGCTGCTCATCCTCCAGTGAAGTGGGGTTTTCCCTCCTTTCCTAAGTAACTCGTTGCTAAGGGAGGAAACAGGGACTGCAGCAGAGGAGAGGGAAGCAGGAGCCCCTTTTCAGAAACAAACTGGCTCCTGGGTCCCCTTTTCTCTGGTGCAGGCCATGGTTTTTGCAAAGTGGCAGCAGGCTGGGCCGTGCGGAGCACAATTTATTTCTGAGCATGAAGTCCTTGTGTCCCAGCCTAGGGCTGTTTTAGGGAGAATGTAAACTGTACTAGAGAAAACCAGACCCAGGAGGACTTTTGCAGAACATAAACTGCCTTCTGTGTTTGGTGTTCTCTGGTGCAGCCATGTTTTTCCTAAAACAACTCTTAGCTGGGACTTGAGCTTGTACTCAGAGACCCAAACGGTGCTCCTCGAGTCCCAGCCACTAGTGAGGACCATGGACTGCACCAGAGAACATGGGACATCTGAGATGGATTATTTCTGAAAAGGGGCTTTGCGAGTCCCTTCAACCTTATGAAGACCGCTATAGTTAGCAATTCATAGATAGTGTTTTAATAATTATGTATCTATATAAGTCTACATATCTATATATCTCTATACAATATAGATATATAGCTCTTAGTAAAAATCACCTATTATTGATAGTTTATTTCTGAAAAGATACTTTTCAGGTCCCTTCAGCCTTAAGTGATAGCAGTTGACCATTATAATTAGTCTTTAATAGATAACTGCTGTTAATTAATTGAGAAGTCTTAGTCATTAATAATTATATACAAGGAATTATAGATAATAGGTAATTTTACAAGGAGCTAGTTATTGACATCACTATTCTAAATAATATAATTATTATCTAAAACTATGCTATTTATTAGCAAGATTATTATCTGTTTGTTATCTAAAATAAGAGAAGTGCTTTTAAGCAGCTCCTGCTATTTGTGCATATATGTACTTCTTTTTACTACATTTCCCTTTATTGCTATTCCTGTGTAGGGTAATGTGCTGCGCTCCTCCTGGAATAAAAATATTTGCTTGCTGTTATCAGACCCTTTGGACACAATGAGCCTGCACTTGCCTCCTTGCAGCATTTTCTAGGGGAAATCAAATAAGACGTACACGAGGTTTATGGTATTTGTCTTGCTACTAACTAATTAAAAATAAATGAACTTTATGCAGCCACACACCATCCTAATACACTAATGGACCCAGTAATATGTAGTATGTAATGCAGAGGCAAAATCCAGCTTGGTGTGGAGGAAAAGCTGGAAAGGCTCCGTCCTCTCCCGCTGTTGCAGTGCTATTTGTGACGGGAATCAGGGTTGTACTAACCTGTAGTGAGGAGGGGGCAGCTGCTGAATGACATCGTGGATTTTAACCAACCGCTCCTCGTCCGTAGCAGCAGAAACAGCGTCCTGCAACACAGCGAGACGGCCTCTACGTGCATGACCCACAGTGCCAGCGTGTCACTGACATCGAGACGCGGTGACGTTCCTGTTAAACAGCCGCCGAGGAAGGCGGCCGAGGGGCTGCCGCGTCCTGCGACGCCTCGTCCTTACCGAGAACTTCTCGTAGAGCTGGTAGGTGAGCAGGGGGTTTGGCAGCTCTCGGAAGTAGAGTTTGCAGAGGGAGCCCACGCAGTGGATGTCCTGGATGTACGTGTCCTTGGTCAGGTCGGGGATCTGCTCCGAATCAAACTCGTGCCTGGGCAGGAGAGCGGGAAGACGGGCAGGGGGGTGAGCGGGAGGAAAGGAGACCCCCAAGACCGCAGCGTATGAGTCTGAAGAAGGCCTGGAGCACAGGGAACGTGGCAGGATGTTGCTTGGGCACAAGGCGGGCACGAGCAGAGCCAGCAACCACATGAAGCGAAGCCGGGAGCATTCCCGTGGTTTTGGGGGGGAAAAAACCCCAAATCACAACATTGATGAAACAGAAGCAGAGCTCAGAAGGCCAAGGCTGGCTCCCTGCTGGAATATGGGCATGGAAATTTCTGTTGCTCACCAAGCCACGTTAGGGAAGGAGGGCTGCACTATGCCCAGCCTTTTCTTTTTGTGCATTTCTGCTGCTTGTTATAAACTACAGGTTATTTTCTGACCCCCCAAAAAGGCTCAGAGTATCTCCAAAAAGATATCAAATGCAGGATTAAATATACCAAATTAAAAAACACCAAATTCAGCGCTTGCTGCCAAAGAAAGGCACTACTAAGGAGCCAGCCCTTGCCTTGGAGTCCCTTTCCCATATGGAATAAATTTCTGTCCAAAAAAAAAAACCCTTTAAAACTGGGAGATTGGGTTTTCCTCCAATGTGAAAATTAAGAACAGTTGCTCATGTATAAGGTCATTGCAGATAGAGCTTTGAAATGGGCTTAACGGTCTGTTTATGTAGCTGGGAACTACAGCAACGCAACGTGTCCAGTGTCGATCAAACCCTTGGAAAAATCCGTGGCCATTTAAATAAGCAGCAGGAGCAGCGACTCCAGCTCGTGCCACGCGCCGTTCCGTTCGCCTTGGGGACATCCCAGAACATTCCAACTAGCCTGTCCGTGTGTTCCCCACCCTATACTGTGGCATTATACAAAAAACACCCTTAGAAGCCACCCTCGCTGGCCGGGAGGGGACCGTCCTGCCAGGTGTCCTCCTCGCCGGCCCTTACCGCAGTTTCTGGATGTTGGATGCGATCCCGGACAGGCGGTAGATCCCGTCCACGATGCCGTGCTTCTCGATGAATTCCGTGCAGCTCTTGAGGACCTGGGGGACTAACGGGGACACGTCATTAGTGGGACCAAGCAGAGCCTGGGTACGGCCATCCTGCCTCCTGCTAGAGCTGTGCTGACTCCAAAAACGCTACAAAATGGGGCAAATGCATTTTCTTTGGCCAAAAGACTTCCATGGGGTTCGGATCCCTGTGACTTCCCCAGCTAATTCCTCACGGTTGGCATTCCAGCCACTGACATCCAAGGGAATCCAAGTGCTGGAAACGCGGATGCACTAATGCAGGAAACCCCTCGCGTATCCGATCGCCACAGGAGCACAAGGAGCTGTTCCAGCTCATTCCTGAGCACCCCTCAGCTGCTTGGAAAGGTTGATTCCATCTCTGAGGGCTCATCTGGAGCCTGAACGAGCTGGTTAATTATTCCCCATTAACCGAGAGGGAAGTTTTATGGGTTTCATTCTCAAAACCATTTCGATTCCTCTTTAAATCAGGCACATTCCTCTCCTGTAATCTCGCCTGGGGTTTTTTTCTTCTTTTTTCTTCCCTTTTTTAATCTTTTGTAAGGTTCCCACCCTGGGCTCAGGGAGGTTTTTTTATTATTATTATTGTTTGTTACATTTTTTTTTCCTGGAATCAGAACTATTTGTTCAGCCTGGGGACCGAGGCCTCCCATGGAGCCGCTCGTTTTCCCAATATTCCGGCACGGGGTGAAGTGCCGCGTTGGGCAGGTTACCAGAGCACGGCACGGAATTCCAGATGTTGCAAAGGAACACGGAGAACTGCAGGGACACTGGGAGCACGAGCTGAACCACCCCATGGGCAACCCCCAAGCAAAGGTGGCAACCAGGGCTGCTCCGGCCACGCTCGGGAAGGACATGAAAAATAAAAATACAAGTGCACAAAGCCCTGTAATAGGAGAGGAATGGATAATTTCAACAGGAAGGCGCATTTCCAGCTATTCCTTTCTGCTCCCTCCACCTCACAGCGCCAGAAAGACAAGAAATTCCAGTAAATCAGCCCGAGCCTTCGGGAGGGTAATGACTTCCCTTTTATTGCCCTCTGCACCACCCAGCGAGCTGCCTGCACCTTCTGCTATGGGAATTGAGGAGGCTCCTGCGTGCGTCCTAACCGCCCGGATTGGGAGCGGGAAGCACGACGGAGCTTCCCTCGGGACGCTCCCTTCCCACGTCTCCAGTGAGCGACATTCAAACTAACGTTGCGGAGGGGCTAAAGTCCAAGCGGCGCCGCTTCCTGCTGGAACGCTCCGGTTTTTATTGGAAAGTGTGACTTTTGTACTGCAAAACCCGAGATAATGGGGAGGGAGGCCGTAGAGCATGAGTCAACCCCGCGCGGACGGTGCCCGGTTATGGAATCGGCTTTTTAAGGGCGGCCTGTTTTGATTTTCTCACTTAGCAGCTTAGCCAGAGACTGCGTAAAAACAAAGTGCAAGGGCCACGTTTCAGGGACGTAAATCCCGCTGGGCTGCGTCCAGGGAATTTTTCCGTGTGGGGACACTGCCCACTTCTTTCCAGTGCATCCATCTCTGGGGTTGTTCCCACCTACCTCTCTGGAGTTTCATATCCACCGCTGGAAAAAAAAAACCCTAGGAATTCATTCCCATGTAGAGTGTACGTTGCTGTTACCTTAATTCACTACAATGCATTGAGAGGGGGGAAAATACCCACCTTGGCCCCAAATAGCTCAAAGCTGACTCAGGTTTGCCACGTTGTGACCCACTGAGCAGCCACCTGGACTCTGGGTGGGCTCCACGTGCCTGTTCCGTGTTTAAACTGATTGCTGGCTTCATCTTCGATGCTAAAGGCACCTAAACATTTCACTTTAACACTTACAGAAGCAGCTGAGTGAATTAAGCACCTTCTAGCTCCCAAAGTGCCCTATTTAGCTCTGTGCAATTGCGCAAAATGCAGCTAAGGACCGAAACAGCCCAGGAAACGCGCACGGATTTACAGTTTCCTGTGGACAATATCAACTATTTACAAGGTCTTTAAGGGGCTGTAATGGAAATACGTCCTATTGCCAGCTCCTTTTGACATTTGTGCACCTTGAAAGAGGAGGACTAAAAACAGGACAGCAGATTTCAACTGATTTGAAGCTTTTTAGCTCACATTCAAACTTTTCAGCTTGGATCCGTGGAAAATACCCATTAAAAATATGACAGTGCCCAAGGGGCTGTTCATGAGCTGAACAAATCTAGCTTCGAGCTTCAGTCTCACCCATAGCCAACATCTGTGAGGAACGAGAGCGCAAACGGGGCTAATTCACCCTGTAAGGGCTGAGGCATCAAGAAAAGCTAAAACGAAGCCATAACATTGAGCTGTCCTAAATTCCAAGTCGGGGCTTTCTTCACAAACAGCCCTGATCCAAAGCCAGCCAGTTACATATTTGTTATAGTTAAAATAATGAGCTAGTAAAACGCACTGCTCAGATTAATACTGGGACCCAAAGAGTGACACAGGGATTACCAAGTTTATCCTCGAGCTAAGGGGGACCAGATTTTCACGGATAACTCCCTGCCAAGATGCTACCCGGGATCTCATTCCCTGTGTGTTTCTCTGTTGTGGTAACAATATTCTTCCTATAGTCAAGCCTGTAATAAGTTAGCATCGAAAGCAGCTCGAATCCTGGCCCCCCACCGAGCGCTGAGGCCGTTCCCTGTGGAACGCTGCCGCGGATCCCGGTGCCGGAGCCCTCGGGATGCTCCCAGGCACCAGCGAGGCCGTGGCGCCGCTGCTGCAATGCAGCATTCGCCGCCTCCCACACTGAGCGAGCTCGGGCTGCTCTAATTGGGGTCAGGCTAAATTTAAGTTCCGTCTGCTTTCCTTTCAGAGGAGGATTTTCGGGGAGAAAAATCACATTTCTCCAGCTAAAAAAGGGAACCAGGGCTCTTGGCTGCTCAGGAACAGGACTCTCTGCGTCTTTGCTCGCACGGCTGGTAACTCCGTCCCCAAAAGGGCCTTTGCTCCGAGGGCTCGAGGCTGTAATTTGCTAGAAACCAGAAAAACCAACAACAAAACACCCCCTGCCCTCGAAACTACCCGCCCACAGCTGCCAGCTCAGCAATCCCCGCAAGCGCCGACGTGAATCATCACCGGCGTGCAGGAAAATCTAAGGTGCAGCCCTCGTTCCTGCTGCTGTTGCTGTAAACACCGCTTCACCCTAAACCTCCCTCCTTCCCGTGCCACATCTGAGGGGGACAGAGCCCCGGAACTGGAGTCTCCTGCTCTGGAGACCTTCCAGCCCACTAGGATGCCACCCTGCGCCCCATGCTCCAGGTGTCCCTGCTGGACTGGATGATCCCGAGAGGTCCCTTCCAAGCTCAGCCCTTCCGTTAGCTCTGCTCTGTGCTCCCATGACACCTCAATCCCTTCCTACGATCGGCTCCGTAGGAGCAGAGCGAGGGAATCCTAAGACACCGCGTGTGCCCAGAGCTGGGTTATTCCCTGGAGCCCATGAACGTCTCCACAAACCCATCCCGGGGATGACATCACTTGGAGCACAGGTCAGGGCGCTGAATCACGCAGCAAAAACCAACCCTGCTGTGTGGAACGGAGACGTGTCCCTGTTAGCGGCGTTCCAGCCGGATCTGCTTCACTGCAGGGAGTTAGGAAAGAGCTATTAAACCAAGGCTGAAAGCAACTGGTAACTCCTAGGCCTCATTAGGAGAGGAGAGCTCGCTTGGAGCCGCGCAGATGCAAGAGATAGGATGGGAAAGGGAGAGAGCTGCACGAGCAGGGAGCTACCACAAGGCTCTGTCACACGGGAGGCACAAGGGACATCAAAATCCAGCGCAGGGCTCAAGGAGCAAAGACACCAAACGGAGCAGCAAACCGCGCCGGGCCGGCAGCAACCCCAACGTCCCCTTCTCTGCTGGCTCTAACTGGCGAGAGGCCAGCGCGGCTCCACGCTGCTTGCCCAAACAGCCCTCAGCAGGGGGGGAAGCATTTCTGGGAAGTGACCTGTGAAGGAATTCGCGTCCTCTGCGTGCTGCTCAGCAGTGCAGGTGCCTCCCTGATTTCACAGGAAACAAAGTTCACCCAAGGCGAAGGAATAACAGGGCCTTTTTCCTCGGAGCGGACACCTCTTCTCCACCGTTTCCCCAAATTGCTGCCCCCAAAAGGGGCAGAGAAAGGCAGCAGAAAAGCCAGTGCGACAGACTGAGAGGAAGGAAGCTCTGAGGAAACAAAATACCCAGGTAATTCCTGGGGGCTTGGGGAAGCTGAGGGAAGGGCAGGTGAAGGACCTGCGCTGTAGACTGCCCTACCATCACACCAAGACAGTGAGAAACGTGCAGGCTTGACCTACCTGTAACCTCCTCGCTGACACTGATCACATAAAAAGTTTATTTCCCTGCCCAAACAGTGCTTATTCCGCATCTGAAGGCTTCAGGAGGTGGAGAACTGCTGCAGTTCTGTCCATCTCCACGCCTGCACGATGCTTACGCGGGTCACTCCGCTCGTCTTGCAGCCGCCAGCTCTTGCTACGCGGTTCTGTGCTAGCAAACACCTCCCTAACAGCAATAAAACACCCGGCAGGGAAGGAGCCCGGGCTGCTTCTTACCATCGTGGCCCGAGTTGAGAAGATGCTCTCCCAGGTCGCAGCCGAACACCCTCTCCTTGAGGATCCCGCGCTGCTTCAGCTTCTGTTTCGTTGGCCGCGACTTCATGAATGTCCGCAGGAAGGTGATGAGCTTGCCGTGCTTCTTGGACACTGCAAAACACAACACGGTTCCTTTTAGGTTCCTTTTCTCCACCGGGCCAATGCAAATAGGAGGATGCAAAAAAAATCAGTGCCAGTGATGAGGAGGACGCAAATAAATCAGTGCAAACGGGGCAGACGGGCTGGGGTAGAGCTTCCAAGGGGGAGCAAAGGGTGCCCCTGGATGTCAACTTTCCTTCCGGAGGCCCCGCTCCGGAGCGGCACAAAAGGGCTCTGCCTTCCCCAACAAAAGTGCCATTGTGCCCTGATTTAAAAGCAATTTAGCCTCCACAGAGGAGCTCTATCAAGAAGAACAAGTCTAGGTATAAAAGGAGTCGCCTTGGGAGGAGCTGCAAGGGTCCCCCCTGTGCTCCTGGCTCAGGTACCAGAGGGGAACCCCCCGTGCATCTCACCCCATAGGACCTCCCGGTGCTCTAACAGACCTTACACCAGGCTCCACTCCATGATATTTTAGTATCTCTCCCCTTCCACCAGGCACTGATGTAGCCTCGCTAGGTGCAATGAGCCTGATCCCAAAGCCCTGAAGATATTTCCATTTACAGGGCCAGCAGGTCACCAGGCGACTCCTGGGTTTCACCTTAGGCATTACAGGAAGGTCCAATGGATACAGTTCCGTGATCCAAGGATGCACTTCGCTTGGTGTTTACATGTTAAACCACTAAAGGAGACCCGGGTTTTCAAACCAGAGCGGGTTCCTTCTGCAGGTTCAGCTGCCACCGCGGGAGCCTCAGGGGTGTCTTTTGGCACCGCTGCTCTCCCTGCCGGCGTCTGCTTGCACAAGCGGGGCCTCAGTTTCCCCTGGCGCTGATAAGAGCTGTTAAATAAGGATTATTTCACTCCTGAGAGCGGGGCCCGTTTGCCTCGCGGGGCTAAGGTCGAAGGCGAGAGCACGCGCGGCCTCCCGGCTTCAGGAGCATGAGCAGGCTGCAAAATGCGAGTGTGTTCAAGGGGGTTAATTCCAGACTCGTTGGATAGCAAAAACATTAACTTTTCTCACAAGAACGGCCTGGATTTCCTGCTGTTATAGGAGCGGGGATAGGGAGAGGAAAGCAGGCTGCTCAGAGCGGCTTTCTTACCCGCTCGAGCCTCATCCGCGCTATTGCTGCCTCCAATAAAAAGCGGGAATGGTGCAGGAGATCCCCAACGCCGGCAGCAACAAGGGATGATCCCGAGTGACTCCGAGCGCTTGGGATGGGGATCTCGCAGCCCATTCCGGCCCCATTCCCATTGAAACGGAGGCGGTGGCGGCTCCCGGGAGGAGGCGGGTGGTGACAGGAGAGGTGACACGGAGCAACAAGCAGCAGCGGATGATTCATCTGGAAAGGCCTCGCCAGGACCCCGGGAAAAGCAGCCTGCGATTCCAGCGCCAAGGGATGTGGGAATCCACCCGGGCAAGGAGGACAACATGCAAGAGCTGCCTGTGCGGGCTCGGGAATGCGGATTTGCTGCTGTTTCCCTCAGAAATAACAAGCCCCCGCAGGGCACTCGCTCCTCCGAAGGGGCTCGCGCTTCCCGGAGGCATCCCGGCTGATCCAGGATGTTTGCAAGGTCGTCTCCATGGGAATCGCTCCGGCTGCCCCCGGGCTCGGCAAACAAGGGCCGGCAGGGGCAGAGCGAAGACCCCTCTCTCCCCAACAGCAACAGCAGCAATAGCAATGCCTGGGAATGCATCCTTGGGAATGTGTCCCTGGGAATGCGTCCCCGGGAGCGGGGAGGGGAGACAAAGGGATAAAGCAAGGCGCAGAAATCCATTGAAATTCCAATTGTCGGCATTC